CGCCCTCTCTCTCTCTCTCTCTCTCTCTCTCTCTCTCTCTCTCTCTCTCTCTCTCTCTCTCTCTCTCTCTCTCGCTGAGAACCTCCCACAAGAATGAGTCGAGGAAGATTAAATCTTGTTGGGCATGTGTGATTTCCTTTTTTCTTTTTTTTTTTGCGGAATGTTGTATGTTTTTTTGTGTTTTTTTTGCTTTTTTTTCTTTTTCCGTGATGTGCTACCAGTTGTCCGAGGCTCGGGAATGACCAGGCTACTGGTAGTCCGAGCCTCGGACTTGATAGCTGGGCGAGGTACTGGTGGTTTAACAGCTAAACCCACACACACACACACACACACACACATACACACACACACACACACGCACGCACGCACGCTTGCGCCCGCCCACCCAGCCTCACACACATTCATAAACTTTAATTAATATTTTGGAGCTTGCACCCAACTGTTCTAGCTGGGGTTTGAACCCACGCACAGATTTGAGAAAGCCAACTGCCCATCAAAATGGACATTTTATATTTTCTGAACGATATCGAAACCTGCTTATTTGGCCCAAATAATATCACCGTTTATCTACTAAGGGGTCCAATTGGACTTAACTGAAGTTCAGGTACATCCAAGGGGCACCCTAAGGAGGAGGTGAAAACGGTGACGATTGCAGCACCAAATAAGTGGGTTTCAATTTCCTCCCAAAAATATAAAATGTTCATTTTAACTCTTAACGAAATCGCTTTCCCCCCCCCTTTGCAATGGGACAATGCTCTGATCTTTTCGTGGAAAGCAGCAAGTGCTGAGAACCGTGCTCAGCGTCCAATGAGCAATTATACTTAAATGTTGAGGAGGAGGGAAGGATGCCTCGGCCTGCACTCATGGACGAAGGGGACCGCGGCGAACGAGAAGGAGAAAGGAGAGAGGAGCTGAACGCCATCAAAGGGGAGAGGTAGACACATGCTCAGCAGAGGACCAAAAGCCGGGTGCAAAGATGGCCCCCAGAAGGGAGAGACAGGCAAGGATGCGGTAGGGGTCCCAATGGTCGAGAACTAGGGAGGAGGACGAAGGGAGTTCATAGGAAAGGGAGTACAAGACAGGGACAGAGGTGTGTCCATCCCTCCGATTCCCTTGCCCCCCGAACACTTTTTTCGATCTTTTCTTTTCTGTCTCCCATCTATTCTCCATAATGTTCATGTTTTGTTTTCTGGTTGCCGGTCATAAGCAACCGGACTGGTGCCCCCCAGAATTGAAGGGTGTGTATGTGTGCGTTGTGTAGAAAAAAAAAAAAAAAGACGGACAAAGGACAGACAGGCCGCAGACTCTCAGAGAGGGGAGGTAGACGCAAGGTCAGCACAGGGGCTGAAGCCAGGTGCAAGGATGAGCCCCAGACGTAAGAGAGGCATAGACACGGTGGGCACTGAGTAGCAACGGAGTACATGGATGAAGACACAGTGACGGCACAGCAGACAGAAGCAGTCAACTCAGTCAACTCAGGGCCGTAACCCAAGAAAGAATGTGTAATGATAATGTCAAATCAGGGATGCTGGACCTTGTTTCCAGCAGGTGCTGCTCCCCATCAATAGGTGCAGCCTTCACCTGAAGGTTCATTTGAGGAAGCTGCCGTTGTCACCGCCTCAACTGCTTCCTTGCACTGAAAAAAAAAGAAAAGAAGTGAAGAAGTGTATTTCTGCAGCTGGGTAGCACGGCGTACATGTACGCGGGTTGCATGTACTCGCGGACACGTATTCCTCTACGCGACAAGTATGCTCGTATAGGTATTCCACTACGCGAAAAATTCAGACAGAGTATGTTATGCGAAATGATATTTCAAACAACATTTGCCTGAGACTCATCGCAAAATTTTGTACCGAACTCGAGTAAAAAATCAAAAACACAAAAAACAGATAAAGTGAAATAAAAAATGAAAAACAAGAAAAAAACAGAACAAATGAAAACAAAATTCTGCAACAAATATATGTTATGCAGAATAATGATACAAACAACTTTTGCCTAGGAGTCATCCCTGAATTCCCAACCAAACTCGAGTAAAAAATCAAAAATTAAAATGAGGTCATATTATTATAATAATTGAAAAACTATTTTAAACTAATTTTTAAAAGTTTTATTCTTTTGAAGTTTTTTTTAAACCACCAGTACCTCGCTCAGCTATGGGCCCCGGGCACTCCCGTATACGCGCCGCAGCCCTAGGGGGGTCGTTCAAGGGAAGGCCCGGTCGCTGCACAAAGGTCGGGCTCCGCTTCCCTAGGAACGACACACTTGAGAAAACAAAAAAAAAAAGAAGGGAAAAAAAAAACAAATACACAAACAAAAAAAAAAAAGAACGGACAAAAAGTTGAAGTCGCGCGCGCGCGCTCGAGAGAGAGAGAGAGAGAGAGAGAGAGGGGCGGCGAGTTCGCCGCGACCCTTCGTGCAGGTCGCAGCCACTCTCTTTCTCTCTCTCTCTCTCTCTCTCTCTCTCTCTCTCTCTCTCTCTCCCTCTCTCTCTCTCTCTCTCTCTCTCTCGTCGCGGCTGGCCTCATGGTACTACGCCCTCGATAGGATTTGCAAAATCGAATGAATCTGGCGCTATAGCGTGGGAATATACACTGCCTTACTTGTTTTTGTGTGAGTGTGTGTGTGTGTGTGTGTGAGAGAGAGAGAGAGAGAGAGAGAGAGGGGAGGCGAGGTCGCCACCTCTCTCTCTCTCTCTCTCCCTCTCTCTCTCTCTCTCGTCGCGGCTGGCCTCATGGTATTGCGCCCTTGTTAGGATGAGCAAAATCGAATGAATCTGGCGCTATAGCTGGGAATATTCATTGCCTTGTTTTTGTGTGAGTGTGTGTGTGTGAGAGAGAGAGAGGGGCGGCGAGGTCGCCGGCTCTCTCTCTCTCTCTCTCTCTCTCTGTCTCTCTCTCTCTCTCTCTCTCTCTCTCTCTCTCTCTCTCTCTCTCTCGTCGGGGCTGGCCTCATGGTACTGCGCCCT